ATAAACTCCACCCCATTCTCTAAACCACACAACAGATGCTGCACAAGTGCATCAGAAAGGCTACAGTTTAAAGGGCCACATCCTACTTTTCTACATTGTTTTTCCACAGAGGACATTTGTAGGCCTGTTACAACTACTACATAATCGTGTGATTGCAATTATTCAGCTGATCATGATTATTTAAAAGGAAAACTGAATTTTCACTTCTGTTTTAAAACAAAAGTATGTAAACACTGCAGGTTTCAAAAAGTACTGTCCATAAAGTCCATGTATGGAAACTAAGCTGCCGCTTTGAATTCACTGTTTCTGCTAAGTCATAAAAACCAACGTATTTATATATACACACCTACTTTATAGCAGTTTAACCCAATTCACGATGATGTCATAAGGAGTGTTTCAGCCCAAACTGTTCTTTCACCGAAGCACAGTATAGGACAGCCAATCAGAACAGAGGTCAGTTACATATGTCAGTCTTAAAGGCACAGTCACAAAAACAGCCTGTTTAAATATAAAGGCTGGAGGAGAGGCTGGAAAATTGTCATAAAAATAAATGATCACTGTTTTTGGTACATAAAATTGAAAAATAAAAATATTACCTTAGGCATAAAAAAAATGACATGATCACAACCACTTTTCAGTGAATAGATTTCACAATTACATTACAGCACAACAAGCACCATGTGAATTGGGTGCATTTTCATCAGCTGAGCTGCAGCAAACAAATGTAAATAAAAGAAAGACGTCATGTCTTATGAAAATAACACCTGCTGCTGGAACACATTAGGAGGGCGCCACTATAATATATTGCTTATTAATTGGCTAGATAGTTAACTGCAATGCTGTTAGCATGTAAAGAACAATGTAAACTTTGCTCGACTGCACGTATGACTCTATGCAGACATCTGTGTGATTGTGTGCAACAGACTATCATTTAATGTCAGTACATCCTAGTTTTCAGCAGGGCTGAAAGATTCATCCTTTTGAAAAGCAATAACAAAGTGAAAAAGCGCAATATTTAAAACACAAGAGCTGGGATTTTAATTTTAGCCAGTATTATTCAGTTCTAAGCCTCCACTTTATGTAAAGCTGCACTATGTAAGTTTTAGGGATTTGGAGACCTCTCTGGTGGGTATGTGTAACTGCACGTAACGTGCAGAGGAACATTTCTCAATGTTGTTTGTGACCCTTTCCTCAAACAGATGAATCTGATGACTGTGAGCACACTGAAAGAGTATTCAAGAGAACTCAGTCAAAACTTGGTGCAGGATGTGTCTTCTGAAGAAGTAAGTGAACTATCTACTATTGTCATTATATCAGGATAATGTTGATTCCATATTTATGATGTAAACATCATGCCGGATCTTCTTTTTCATCTTGTTCATGTGATGTTAACATATAACATATTTCAGACTTTACATCATAGTTTTTTTTCCTTCTGATTCAGTAAAGATACTCTAAAAACCTCATAGTGCAGCTTTATCCTAATAACAGGGAGCTTGTCACAAGTACAAGTAACTGACAGTCTGGCACACAATGTTCAGCATTTAAGCTTCACACCGGGTAAGTGGATATTCTGGTGTTTTGAGCCAAAATAAAGGTCCTTAATTTACAAGAATTAATCACAGTAAAAACTGCACTCACTATTCTGGTCGGAAAAATTGCAATTACATATTTTCTCTTAAATAATTCAATCTTAGTTTTAGCTAAAAACATGAAGCAAGTTCGCTAATTAGCCAGTTTATCCACTTTAGGCTTATTCTTTTAATAGTTGCATAAAATAAATAAAGCAAGACAATTAAACCGTTAATTACACTTATTTATACAGAAATAAATCGTCAGTTAAAATTTCATGATTGTAAGATTCCTGGACATTTGTATGGGTTTGTGTACCAGAAACTCATAACTGATATTTGTATGACCAATTTGAAACCTCTCTTTACCCCTTAGAATTAAAAAGCTGCATTTGTCATTGTTAGAATAATATATGTAAATGACCTGTGAGTAGGCGGGTATATGTAAATGCTTCATGCATTCAAACAGGGTGTCTTTGGACGTTAGTGAGGGCTGGGGAGGAAACAGAATGCTTGTTTATCTATTGCATCAAACTCTTTTAGTTAAAAAAAAAGAAGATAACTGTTTTGCTATGACACTGGCCCTTTAAAAGTACTCAGTAGTCATATGTGACTGAGTAGCTGCAACATACTTTGCTGAACAGCTGCTTTTAAAAACAAGGCCAACTTTTTGATATGAATCCCAACTAATGTGACAGTTATAATCGAACTACAAGAACACATCCAGACTTGCAATCAGAAAAAAAAGAAGAAGAAAAAAAAACACAACACCAAAATGTAACCTGTCTCTGATGACTGTGCTAAGGCCACGTATGTAACCTGAAACACAGTGTTTCTCTGCGAGCGCGTTTAATGTCTCTCTTGAGGAAGTGGAAAACGGGTTGCTCAAGTTTTGTGCCTGCAGCGGTGGCCACAGGTGCATCATCCAGTTCTTTATCTCTTGTAAAAACACTTCCCTTTCAAATAAATCTCTTTACACTGCCAGCCTGACACACGAAATGCATCACCCGAGCTTTTCTCTGTGACTCGCTGCTTCAGCTGATGTCAGTTGAGGGTAAAAAGCAGGGGTCAAGACACTGCAGAGCCTTTCGTCTGCCATCTCAGGATTAGTGAAAGTCGCATTGTGCTGATGCACCGAGCCGTCTCGACAGGACGATTTTCCACTGAATCAGCTCTCGTCCAGGTATGACAGGCTGGCAAGTCATCTCACACTCAAACCACCACTCATAAAACGTGAAAATGGAAAATGCAGTCTCACCACTTGCCCTAACGTCCCAATCATAAAACACGAAGAGTTCCTCCTTCTGGCTGTGCAGTCGGTCTACCAGACTCGAAAAGAATTACGTTAAAACCGCTGACGTCAACCATCAGGATTTGAGGGAATTCCCTCTGAATTAAATATATAACCTCAGGGCTCTTATCCAAGTCAGTCATACATGAATCTGACTGAGATCATTGTGTGAATTTAATAACATTTAAAAAGCTTAACACAGTGTTTAGAGAGGGTTCAGCTAACATCCAGAGTAAATGCTAAAAGGGAATTCCACCAATTTTTCAAAAATTCTGCATAATTCAGTCACAGAAATGTAAACAAAGTCATTCAGTGGGGTGTCATGTGAAATGGTTCTGATTTTCTTTACAGTGGTGGTGACAGGAACCAAAAGACCAATGCCAACAATGCAGATTTGAACATTTTATTTACTATCCAAACCCACTAGTGAACCTCCATGGGTCCTCTAAGTTTTAAATGTAATGTTGATGACCCGTAAAATGTTGACAATCTGAAAAAATAAGCTTTCTTTGCCTCACAAAGTCCTGCATGTACCCCTCCACTATGAATGGATATGAAGGCCAAAACCTTCACAAAACTATCATAAAACAGTGTCTCAGACATCAGACAGGGCATTCATAAGCATTTCATGTAATAACTTTCTGTGAGGGAGTTGTTAGAGGCATTAAATTATTCAAACATTTGATTCCCATCACTGTGCTGTGAACAATACTGGCTCAGTAAGTTTCTCCAGAATTTCACATCAAGCCCCTCTGAATGACTTTGTTTACATCTTAATCATTTATTTATGCAGACATTTTGACAAATCGGTGGAACTCCCCTTCAAGTGTAAAATAACGAACGAGGAGGTTGCCACAAAAGAAACTGAAGTTCACTTCACCTCATTGATTTTAAAGAGGTTTTACATGGCATAGTGTCACTGTCTTAATCCATTCATATTCCAACTGCATAATTACTATGATAAGGAAATAAAACATGTTCTGGTTGATCTAAAATGATTGGATTGCATTTGATTTTTTTTTATTCAGTGTCCTATTCAAACTTTTATTCCTCTTTAAATCTGCACATTATATTGTTTTGCTAGAAGTCAGCCCTTCCTAACTGAACTCAACACAATAAAAACTCACTTTTTACCCATATGGTTTGAAAACCTCACGTTTGTGCTCAGGAAAGCTCAGAGAACATACACACCAATGGAAACATCACACATGGACACTACCGGGTTAAAGGGGGACTCCACCAATTTTAAAAAAAATAACATGATTAAACGGTTTAGATGCAACCAAAGTGGGTTAATATGAAATGTTCTGTTCAAGAGAGACCTGCATCGTCAGAACTGCTCACAGTAGTGGTGATAGGAACCAGACGTCTAAAGAGTTTAATGCTTCTTAAAGCTCCCTTACAGAAAGCTTTTACATGAAATGGTGGAATATATGCTGCTTGATATCTGACACATTGTTTCGTGGCAGTCATTAGGTTTTGGCCTAAAATTATTTTAAAACATTTATTTGAATCCTTTTATGGCGGAGGGGTACATGCAAATAAGGCAAAGTAGTCCTCTGAGAAAACTTACTATCATCAACATCACACATAAAAACTCAAGAGACAGTGTAGGTTCACTTGTGGTTTCAGATAGTAAATAAAAAGGCTATATTTGTGTCGTAGACATCCTGGTTCCTGTCACCACCGCTGCAAAGAAATCGGAGGCTGTAAGTTGTCCTACAATGAACCATTTCAGGTCAAACCACTCCAAATTACGTTGTTTACATCACAGGAATATGGGGAAATTCTGAAAAATCGCTGGAATTCTCCTTTAATTCACTCTCGTAGACGCTGGTTTCATTGACCGGGGTAGGCGGCTGCAGCCTCTCACTCACCTCCGGCGGGCTTCTTTTAACTTAGCCTACTGTAAAATACGCCTGACCTCAGTAAACCCACTCAGCAGCGCTCACAGGGCTTCTTCTTTACCTTCTTCCGTGAGCAGAAACCACCCTGCCTGAAACTTCTCCCTCACGCAGCGAACATGTAACAACATTACAGCAGCTGCACTCAGGCAGGCTAACGTAAAACCAGCACAGCCCAACTCCACATTCACTGAATTTCAAAAATAAACGACAAACACGGACTCTTTTACTCACCGTTGGGTCCATATTTCTCCAAACTAGCCTTCACTTGCTCGAGCGTCAGTCCAGTGTTTTCGTTCACGTTGAAGTGTCTTAAAACTTCAGATGAAGATTTAGTGTGCGCGTTCTCCATTTCTGTTCGAGGGGGTGGGGGGGTTAATCTATCACTGTGAAAACCTGACAGGCATGTAGTTGGGACTGATTACAGCGCCTGAGGCGATTTGAACGGAGCCTGTCTCTGAGTCCGAGGTGAAATTTCCACCGCGGGTCGGTGAGTAAGGCTGCCACCTGTCCCTGCTGTCCAGCCCTGAGTGCCTCTCTCTGCCCCTTCCTCCTCTCCTCTCTCTCCTCTCTCCTCTCTTCTCTCGCAGAGCTGTTTCTGCTGCTGCTCGAGCGGTAAAATCGCGCGCTCTCTGCTCTCCGGTGTGCTCGGCATCAGGCCACGCCTCTCTTAGAACGCTCAAGCGCCGCCTTGAGCTCTCATTGGTTACCTGAACTCACTGTATGAATATTCATGAACACGAGCTCCGTCAGAGCAGGAAAGTGGAAGAGAGTTATTTCAGTTTCTCTCAGAAAGAGTAATAATTGTGACGAATGACTTCTATTTACTTTTTTGTAAAGATGGATTTGTTTTTTCTTGAATTTTGCCTCACTGAAAGAAAAGTTTTTGGAGTAAACTGAGAAAATTATCTTGTTTAGAAATTGAAAAATGATGAATTCTTTTATTATGTCTGTGTTATCTAGGTAGGCCAAGCTACACTATATGAGCAAAAATATATGGACACCTATAGATCACTCCAATTTGAGCCTGTTGGACATCCTATTATAAAACCATGGGCAGCTAAAACACCTCCATTCTTCTGGGAAAGCTTTACACAACATTTGGGAGCGTGTCTGTGGAAAGTTGTGCCCATTCAGTCAAAAGAGCATTTGTGAGGTCAGGTACCGATGTTAGACAAGAAGGTCTGGCTGTTCCAATTCAGCCCAACGGTGTTCAGTGGGATTGAGGTCAGGTCTCTAAAGTTCCTCCACACCAAACTCATCAAACCATGTCTTTATGAACCTTTGCGCACAGGAACACAGTCAAGAACAAAAAGGTCTTCCCCAAACTGTTGCCACAAAGTTGGAAGCACATAATTGTCTAAAATGTCTCTGCATTCTAGTATTAACATCACCTGTTACTGGAACTAATGGAACCAGCCCTAGACCATTATCCCTCCTCCACCAAACTTTACTGATGGCACTATGCCTTCCAGTAGGTTGCATCTTCTTGGTATCCACCAAACCCAGATTCAGCCATCAGACTGCCAGATAGTAAAGCATGATTCATCACTTCCGAGAACACGTTTCTACTTCTCTAGAGTCCAGTGGTGCAGTTCTTTACACCACTGCCGACGCTTAGTAATCTTACGCTGACGCTTAGTGATCTTAGACTTGTGTGCAGCTGCTCGACAATGGAAACCTATTTCATGAAGTTCCCGACGCACAGTTCTTGTGCTGATGTTGCTTCCAGAGACAGTTTGGAAGGATAGGTGCAACGCACTTCAGCACTCAGCGGCCCTGCTATCTGAGTCTGTGTGGTCTATTCTGCTTAGTGGCTAAGCTGTTGTTGCTCAAAAACACTTCCATTTCACAATTAAGGCACTTAGAGTTGACTGGGGCATTTCAGGACAGAAATTTCATGAACTGACTTCATCCTAAGACAGCACCATGTTTAAAGTCACTGAGCTCTTCTGTGCAACCTATTCTACTGCCAATCATAATAATAATAATAATAATATTAATAATAATAAGTTACATATATATAGTGCCTTTCACAATCCCAAGGTCACTTTACATAACAAAGAACATAAAGAAATTTTAAAAACAAATAGATAAAGCAACTAAAGCAGTAAAGGAGGAAGAGAAATGCTCACTGAGCAGATTGAGGAAGAGATTTCCAGAGATTGGGGGCCGTGGCACTGAAGGACCTACCTCCCAAGGTGGAAAGTCTGGTGCGTGGGATGGCAACTAAGTTATTCCAAGAAGACCTGAGCGAACGAGAGGGAGTGTAAGAGGTCAGGAGTTCTCTGAGGTAGAAGAGAGCAAGGTTATGCAGGGCTATGAAAGTGAGAAATTTTAAACGTTATATGGGACAGGACCGGCAGCCAGTGTAGCTGAGAGAGAATGGGAGTGATGTGAGTATAGGTGAGAACCATAGCTGCAGAGCTCTGAATATGCTGAATATAGTGTAGCTTTTGAATAGACTTTACAGGGAGGCCTACAAAGAGGGAGATAAAGTAATCTTTACAGTACATAATGTGCTCCTGGGCCAACATCGTGAGAGATAACGTGACTCTAGGCTTTCCAGAAGTCCTGGACAGTGGTGTTTCAGTCAGCAGCTCTATGCTCATTAGCTCCTCGCTAATGGAGTATTTGTAAAACTAGCAGAGCGCTAGCAGATATTAGCATCATCATAGATGTGTTTTTTTTCTCATCTTTGACTAAGTTTTGACATGTATGGTCCAAACTTATAAGATGTAGGCTTATCTTATTATAGACATGGAAATGGCCCAATCTAAGGCATTAAAAATGTGCTCCTAAAGAAATGATGGGTGCTAAACAAAACTAAGGTCTGTCTCTTTTTACATGTGGTATATAGTTGCTACAGTCATTCTTTTCAGTATCAAATACATTGTCCATGTTATTTAAACACATATGTTTGTTATTACTGCTTAAACAAAACACTTGGTATCAATTTTTTGTGTAAGAAAGGCAAATAGCAGGATCTGAAAGACCAATATATCAGAATTAGACATCAGGTTAGTCTGGGAGATTAGCATGTTAGCATCAACACTGCCCCTGTGTTCATGATGAGCTCTAACCACTCTCTGTTCTGACAAAGCAGTGTCGTTCAGTTTTTCAGGACAGTAGTTATAGTGTGTCCGGTCATGTTTCAAAGGACAAATGGTTCCGCAGGATTCAAGCTGGAGTCTTGTTACGTCTGCAGTTAGCCAGGTAGTAGGACATCGCCTAGCTGGGCACTGCGGAGAGGAGGAAGTAGATTGGGAACAACGTGTTCTAGTTTCCTTCTGTCTCACCGTTTGTCCTCTCTGCAAAGCCTATATATAGACAAAATACTTCAAACATGGGTAATCAGAGGCAGGTAGAGAGGCCAAAACTATATACAACAAAAAAGTGTTGTTACAGTTAAAGAAATAATGACACAAGTAGCTACCGAAAAATACAACTTTAGATCTATTAGCATAAAAACTGAAGTTTGGTAGGGGCTACTCTCCTCTGGACTGTAAGTACATTAAACTGAGTAGATGACCCAACTTTGGAACCTCTGTTCACATTTTGTTTCCAACAATATAAGTCTGCCTGCAGATAAATATTTAAAATGATTCTAATATGCTAATCATGTACAACTAGGAAACTATAAATTAAAATTAGGAAATGTTAGATGTGTCCAGCATGATGAGTGGAACTGTAGGTGGTTCTAAAATGACTCAGAAAGCTGTATAACATCGGGAATTATGTTTTACGTAATAGTTGTGATAAAATGAATATTCAGAATTCATCAGATTTCAAACATGGAGATCAAATCTCAAAGCAAATAACCAAATTAAATTTAATATACACTATATGGCCAAAAATATGTGGACACGTTTGTGTTCAGTAGAGCTGAGGTCAGGATTCTGTGCAGGCCACTGGTGCTCCTCCACGCCAAACTTGTCAAACCGTGTCTTTATGGACCTCACATTTTTTATGTTGGCTCTTCCCCAAACTGTTGCCACAAATTGGGAAGCCAATAATTGTCTAAAATGTCCTTGTATGCTGCAGCACTAACCTTCACTGGAACTCCCAAACCATGAAAAACAGCCCAGACCATTATCCCTCCTCCACCAAATTTTACTGTTGGCACCATGCGTTTCCGTGCATTCCAGTCCATTTTTTTATCACTGCAGAAAACGTTTCTACTGCTCTAGAGTACAGTGCTGGCATGCTTTACACCACCTTGGCCGATGCTTTTCATTGCACATGGTCTTAGGCTTCTGCACGGCCATGGAAACCCCTTTCACGAAGCTCCCAATGAACAGTTCTTGTGCTGATGTTGCTTCTTGAGGCAGTTTGAAACTGTAGTGAGTGCAAAAAAGGATCAGCGATTTTATGCGCTATGCACTTGATGGCTCCACTCTGCAAGTTTGTGTGGTCTATCACTTTGTGTCTGAGCTGTTGTTGCTTATAGATGCTTCCATTTTACAATAATAGCACACAGTTGACCGATCTAGTAGGGCAGAAATTTCATGGGCTGCCTTGTAACAAAAGTGGCATCTTTTGACAGTGAGCTGATCAGTACAACCTTTTACTTTTACTTTCACTTCCAGTGTTCTGAGATTGCACAGTTATTTGCTTGATTTTGCACACCTGCTAGCAAGGTGTGGCTGAAACACCTGAACTCAAAAATTAGGAGGGGTGTCCACATACTTTGCGCTATATAATGTGCATTAATAATTCCTGTATATTATATATTTCTTGCAGTATTGAATGCAACATATACAAATACTTTTTGGTGAATAGTTTACAATAAATCCACTCTGTATAACATATTGTGTTTAAAACGAAAAAAAAAGGACAAAAAATTAAGTTCTGAAAATGAACTACCCCTACACACTGACCCAACAAACCTTTTGTCCAGGAATAGCCTATAACAGATGAAAATGCAGAAGCGAGCTAGTAGTGGTGGTAAGCAAAACTCCAAGCACAGCAGACCAACATTTCAATGAAATACTTTAGCCAGTTTTGAGTAACTGAATCACATTCAGCACAAACTCTGCTGCTGTGCTCCAAATATCATGGCGCAAGGCAATGCAGCATCAAACTGTCTGACTGTGTCCTTGCTTTCAGTGATGTCCCCAATGTATGCATACCCTAGTTTCCTTCTCATCCCACCATTGTGCTTTCTCACACTTGGACTATATTTATCCCGGAAAGTCACAGAAAAGCGAACAGGTTCTTCTGCTTCTATCCAGGTCATTACCAACTCCCACTCACTGTCGTGTGTTGAGAGTAGCAGCTGCCCTTCGCTGAACAGGACTTGCTGGTTGCCTCGGCTGAACTAGGACCAGCTGCCTGAAAACTTACTTTCTTTGACCTCAAATGTAGCTTCCTCTTAAATATCGTCAATAGGCCAAGTGTTTGACGTGGCTTATTGACTGAAGGAAGTTCATTTGAGATTAAGGTGTTGCATATCATCGCTGTCCAAAAAATGGACCAATAGAAATGCTCCAAAAGTGCTTGGAATAAAATCTCTTTATATTAACTTACATTAAAAGTGGTGAATATTTTTGTCCTGTCCTGTAAAGTAGCCATTTTGGTGATACTTGTTGCTCTTTGCACAGTGACAATATGTGGTTTTTGGTGCTGCATTTCC